AATAAACAGCCAGTGATTGTACTTGAAGTAATGTTCAGTGCATTGATTGAGGTTTCCTTAGCAACTCTGACATTTTTAGATTTAAGCAGCATCATTGTAAATTTGTTCAGACGGCTGTATTTAGAAAGAAAAATGCAAGTTACTACTCTTCTGTAAAAAGAACTGTTGAGACTTAAAATGTCTTTTTAGGTTGTATCCTAGTATTGTAAAATCTTTAACTCACATGTGCACAGAATGCACTTTGGCCAATGTATTTATCTATCTCAGTTTCTTCCTCGCTGCATTGTTTTCGCTCAAGCTACCTTATATATTTTCAAGTCTATGAGGATTCCACACACTGTGGAAGTTATGTTTTCTCACAGATTGGTTTTATAATTATTACTGGTGGAAATGGTGTGGAAACTGGGCTACCTCTTTGCAGCACTTCTTCCTATTTAGTAGCAAGAAAGGAAATTGTAAAAATGTCTGGCTTGTCCTTCCCACAAAAGTGTTCTTTCACTATGTACTTTACAATGAGCACGTAAAAAAGCAAGCTGAGCTAGAATGTGATGGTAACAGTTGTCATGCTGTTTGATCACACTACAAACACAAATGATAAAGTGTACCTGGCTTTCAAAGAGCCAATGTGCCATGCCATTCCCTCCCCCTCCCCCCCCCCATGAGGAACTCAACTGGTACCTTTCAATGCTCAGGCCTAAAAACCATTTGTTTATATTACTTCTATTTTAGTTGTGTAGCTTCAATTGGTTGGTCCCCATGCCATTCTGTATCCAGGCAAATGTCAAATACTTGTACAGTCTCTCCTGATTCAAGTGAAAAGGAGAAAGTGTGTTGGAGAATGAAATATAAATAAATGTTACCATACCGATGACGCTGTTATTTATTTGCCTGCATTTACAAAATTGTTGATATATTTAGTATTCTAAACAGCACGTTTTCATGCCATTAAAATGTCATAAAAGGCAATTGCATTTGCCAAAAAAAACCCCAAACAATCCTTCAGTTTGCACAACACTGATGTAGAATGATGGGACTCTCATATTTATATTTAATATGTGTAATCTAATATTGATAATCAATAGAAACAAAGGAGCATCTTGAGAAATTTCATTGGTTTCCTTGATAGTTTAACTTGGGATTCAAAAGAAGCAATAACGTGTCAATCAGATTAACAAGACAACTTCTTACATAATTGGGAAGACCTTGAGTACCCATCAAGAAATTTGGTGATATTTAACTATCCAGAATCTTAGCACTTGCCGAACTTTAATGTGCCATCTTTGTCAAAGATGGTTTTACATATTTTTAAATGAGATTAGCCTGCTGGAAAGGAGAGCACCAGCCTCAACCACTAATGATCCTCATTTTCAACATCTAATTTGAGTAGAAAGAGTCTGAATCAAATTCTAGATCAGGGTCCCCAACCCTTGGTCTGTGGAATGGACGCGGCATGCCAGCACCCGTTCTGCACAAACTAGCAAAGCCCCATCCGTGGGATGCAGGCAGCACACAAAACCATGCACTCTCAGGTTCGTGGAAAAACCTTTCTCCACGGAACCAGTCCCTAGTGCCCAAAAGGTTGGGGACCTCTGTTCTAGATGGCTTCTGTTCTGGATAATAATAATAATAATAAAATAATAATAATAATAATTAAAAAAATTGATAAATTCGCTATTAGTCAATTGCAAAAGGTGGCCTTACTAGGAACTGCTTCCATCCTGCGACGATATCTATAATACCATCAAACATCCACATCTGCCTATCCCAGGTCCTTGGTAAGGACTCGATAGGTAGAGAAAATGCCAAATCCAGTCTGAACATCTGGCTGACTGTGCGATGATCAATAAATAATAATAATAATAATAATAATAATAATAATAATAATAATAATAATAAAGTTGGAAGGGACCTTGGAGGTCATCTAGTCCAACCCCCTGCTCAGGCAGGAAACCCTATTCATGTCGGACAAATGGCTGTCCAGTCTCTTCTTAAAAACCTCCAGTGTTGGAGCATTCACCGCTTCTGGAGGCAGGTTGTTCCACTGGTTAATTGTTCTAACTGTCAGGAAGTTTCTCCTTAGTTCTAGGTTGCTTCTCTCCTTGGTTAGTTTCCATCCGTTGCTTCTTGTCCTGCCTTCAGGCACTTTGGAAAATAGCTTGACACCCTCTTCTTTGTGGCAGCCCGAGATAATTGGAACACTGCTATCATGTCCCCCCTCGTCTTTCTCTTCATTAAACTAGACATACCCAATTCCAGCAACCGTTCCTTATATGTTTTAGCCTCCAGTCCCCTAATCATCTTTGTTGCTCTTCTCTGTACTCTTTCTAGAGTCTCAACATCTTTGTTACATCGTGGTGACCAAAACTGGATGCAGTATTCCAAGTGTGGCCTTACCAAGGCATTGAAGAGTGGTATTAATACTTCACGTGATCTTGATTCTATCCCTCTGTTAATGCAGCCTAGCACTGTGTTGGCCTTTTTGGCAGCTGCAGCACACTGCTGGCTCATATTTAAGTGATTGTCCACTAGGACTCCGAGATCCTTCTCACAGTTACTACTATTGAGCAAGGTACCACCTATACTATACCTGTGCATTTGGTTTTTCTTGCCTAAATATAGAACCTTGCCTTTTTCACCATTGAATTTCATTTTGTTAGATAGCGTCCAGTGTTCAAGTCTGTCCAGATCCTTCTGTATCCTAAGCCTGTCTTCTGGAGTGTTGGCTATTCCTGCCAGCTTGGTGTCGTCTGCAAATTTGATGAGTTCCCCATCTATCCTCTCGTCCTAATCTTTGATAAAGATGTTGAAGAGCACTGGGTCCAGAACAGAGCCCTGGGGCACCCCACTAAGCACTTCCCTCCATGTAGATGTGGTTCCATTGAGGACCACACGCTGAGTACGTCCAGTCAGCCAGCTACGGATCCATCTGGTGGTGGTGCTGTCTACCCCACATTTTTCTATCTTGTCAAGTAGTAGGTTGTGATCTACTTTATCAAATGCCTTACTGAAGTCCAAGTAAATTATGTCCACAGCTTTCCTCTGCTCCACTAATTTTGTCACTTGGTCAAAGAGTGTTATAAGATTTGTCTGGCATGATCTATTTTTGACAAATCCATGTTGGTTTTTAGTAATGACTTTGTTTGCCTCTAGGTGTTTGCTGATTCGTTGTTTGATTATCTTTTCCAGGATCTTCCCAGGTATTGAGGTCAGGCTGATAGGTCTGTAATTTCCTGGGTCCATTTTTGCCCTTTTTTGTAGATGGGAACTACATCAGCTCTTTCCCAGTCCTCTGGTAGTTCCCCTGTGCTCCAGGATCTTTGAAAAATATAGTTCAGTAGTTCTAAGATCACATCTGCCAGTTCCTTGAGAACCTTGGGGTGTAATCCATCTGGTCCTGGCGATTTGAACTCATCTAGGCTGGGCAGTGCTCACTTACCATTTTCTTGCCTATCTTAACTTGTGTTTCTATTCTGTTTTTTATGGCACTATTTTTGATAGGTTGGTCTGTTTTTTTCCCTTTGGGTCAAGACAGATGCAGAGGTACCTGAAACATTCTTAGGAAATTAGAAACAGTCACAATTGGGTCTGCAGTATTGCAAGGATAGATGGTTGATTAAATAGGAATCTAGAGACTGGCCATCACAACCAGTGGTGGCATTCAAATATGCGAACAACCGGTTCTGTGTGTGGATGCTGCTTCCGGAAGTCCATTTTGGGCCTGGGCAACAAAAAATTAGCTACCGGTTCTGCTGAAGTGGTGCAAACCAGCTGAATTCCACCACTGATCCCAGCCCTTTTGCCAAGAAAACTACCCTCAGATTTCTACCTGTACCTGAAGGGGCAAGAAGGCAGCACAAAAGAGAGACTGGAGATTTTTTTTTTTTTAATGTAGAAGGCCTTTGGGTTAAGCTGAGATCCACTGTGCAAAAATAGTCAAGATTTACAAAATTAAAAGCTCATCAGTCAAGATTTACAAGATAATTTTGATTTTAGGCGCTCCTGAAATTCTGGGGGTCTATGTTTTCTATTATGACATGTACCGAAGCCAAGATTTCAGGCCAAAGATATGTCTTATCTCTTCTGGAAATGTATTTCAAAGGTAATGAGCGGTCTGGTCATTACACGATCAGATGAAGAGAAATGGCTAATTAAAAAAAAACAACTTGATGGTCCTTTTCACATCCTCGGTGGTAAATCCACGTGTCATATTCTGCTTCCCTTTATACCAGAGGTAGGCAACCTTGGCTCTTTTATGACTCATGGACTTCAACTCCCAGAATTCCTGAGCCAGCCATGCTGAGGGGAAAGAGTGAGGTTTCCAAGCTAAGCCATGCTGGCTCAGGAAGTCTGGGAGTTGAAGTATACGAGTCATAAAGTGGCCTAGGCCTAGGCCAAGAGTAGGCAACCTTGGCTTTTATGACTCGTGGACTTCAACTCCCAGAATTCCTGAGCTAGCATGGCTCAGCTTGGAAACCTCTCCCTTTCCCCTCAGCATGGCTGGCTCAGGAATTCTGGGAGTTGAAGTCCATGAGTTATAAAAGCCAAGGTTGCCTACCCCTGCTTTATACTATAAAGCTTTGCTGGCTGAGGAATTCTGGGAGTTGAAATCCACAAGTCATAAAATTGCCAAGGTTGAGAACCCCTGCTTTATAGCTTCATGAAATTTAACAGAAGACAACGAACCAATTAGAAAAGTTAACAGAACGAATGCATCTTCTACCCTTGGGTACATAGATTTATGTCTGGATGCAAACAATGCTTCCTAGGCAAGAGATTCAAAAGCGTCAAATAAAGCCGGATTTAAAAACAAACACATAAATAAAATCCAGCTGTGCCAATCAGCCCAACAGAGTTGAAGAACCAAAGTCTCGTTTTTTTTTCCTTCCAACGGAAAAGTTGCCAATTCCACCAGACTCCAGCAGGGGCCGCTGTGCGGACGCGAGACTCTTCAATAGTCGGTTGCTTCCGAACGCTTTGCGCTCCGCCGGTTGCCGGGACAACCCGAACAGGAAGTCGCCCGTCCTCCGCGCGCCATTTTCAAACGGCTCCTTTGGTCTGTCCGCTGGCTGTTTGGCGGCGGCGGCGGCGGAGGAAAGGGGCCGCTCCGGCCAGGCCGCCCCCACCTCCGGATGAGGGGCGAGGCGTGTGAGACGGCCCTCCCGCCTCCGAACTAGGCCGCGATTTCAGGCCGCGGGCCCCGTTTCCATGACGACGTAGAATGACGGTAGAAGGATGACGTCGCCCGGCTGGGAGTAGCGCCCGGAGGGGCTCAAGCGAAGCGAGGGAGGCCTGGAGAGCGGGGCGCCTGGGAAGGCCCCAGCAGGTTCGTGCGGTTGTGGCCAAGCGACCCCAGTCGCCCTCCCCAGCCAAACTGGCTGCCAGGGGTTTTCAGCCAGCTCTCCCCTTTTAAACCCTCCCCTCCAGGTCCTCCCTTTGCTTTCTGCACTGCGCTTCTGTATCAATCCCTTTATAGCCCGATATATTTTTCAACTTTGGGGCAGGCAATTTCCAGAAGCAGCCTCGGCGCTCAGGATGGCAGGTCCCTTGGACTGTGTTATGTGCTCACTCTGGTCCTTCTTCCAAGACAGAATGAATTGCCTCCTATTTTCCCTTGCAAGAGCTGAAGAGCATTTGAACTTGGGTTTCGCCAAAGGCTTTTTAGTAACTAGTATGAATCTCTTCTTCTGATGGCCTGAATGTGTGTTTGTGTGTATGTATGTATGTATACATCTATGTATATGTGTGTGTGTGTGTGTATATATATATATATATATGTATGTATGTATGTATGTATGTATGTATGTATGTATTGTTGTTGTTGTTGTTAATTGCGAAGTCGTGTCCGACCCATCGCGACCCCATGGACGACGTTCCTCCAGGTCTTCCTGTCCTCTACCATCTTCTGGAGTCCATTTAAGTTCACACCTACTGCTTCAGTGACTCCATCCAGCCACCTCATTCTCTGTCGTCCCCTTCTTCTCTTGCCCTCCATCTGTCCCAGCATTAGGCTCTTCTCCAGGGAGACCTTCCTTCTCATTAGGTGGCCAAAGTATTTGAGTTTCAACTTCAGGATCTGGCCTTCTAAAGAGCAATCAGGGTTGATCTCTTCTAGGACTGACCGGTTTGAACGCCTTGCAGTCCAAGGGACTCGCAGGAGTCTTCTCCAGCACCATAGTTCAAAGGCCTCACTTATTTGGCGCTCAGCCTTTCTTATGGTCCAACTTTCACAGCCATACATTGCAACTGGGAAAACCATGGCCTGGACTATACGCACTTTTATTGGCAGTATGTATGTATACATCTATGTATATGTGTGTATATATATATATGTATGTATGTATGTATGTATACATCTATGTATATGTGTGTGTGTACAGTAGTGGCCAAAATTGTGGAAACCTTTTGGGAAAAGTGTATTTTTGAGGTTTGATGGCTAATAACACCACTTTTTTGGGGAGTAGTACCATAAAATTATGTATCAATGGAAAGATAATTTAATCGAGAATGTAATGCAACAGTTTGTTCAATTATCTGTACTGTATTCTATGAAAGGTTATAGCCAAATAACCAGAAAAAGGAAGCACAACTTACTTAGGTTGATATCAGATAGCTTTTCTTCATCTGATGGTAGCCAATGAGCATGAGTGTTTAGAGCAGACATGTCAAACACAAGGCCCGGGGGCCAGATGCGGCTTGCGAAGTGGTTTCATGTGGCCCGCACAGCCATCCTGGAAACAGTGAGGGAACAGCCCTCTGCTGCCTTGGTCCTGGCCCAGGCCGCCCAGGAGCCAATGTACAATTTTGTGGTGGCCATCTAGGCTGAAACACATTCAGTCTTAGCTCCACAAGGCTGTCCGGAAACAGCGAGGAACCAGCCCCTGCCGCATTGGCCCCACCTCCTGGGTGCATGCTGGGGAGGTGTCACTCTTTGTGAGGAATGAAGAAATGCATCATCACCTGGAAGTGGCCAGCAAATGGCCCTTGCCTACTTCACATATCCGGCGCGAACGATGTAGAGCTGGCCATGCCCACCCAATACGCCACACCTACTCCATCCATGTCCACGCAGTAGGCTGCACCCACCCTGGCCCCACACACCCGCCCCCCCAGGGCAACCGCAATGCAGATGCGGCCCTCAATGAAATTGAGTTTGACACCCCTGGTTTAGAGAGCCAATCAGGTGTCATCTTGTTTTGGCAATGAGCCAATCAGATCACAGTAGGATTCAGCAATTGATGTCATGTATTGAAGCTGAGAGGAGGACATTTGTTACTGTGTTATGTGATCTCTATCAAGTAGGTTGGGGTTTTTTGTGTTCTTTCATTCAGTGAGCTTGTAAAACATAATAAAATTAAAGTCATGGTGCAAAGAGTTTACTGGATGCCCAGAAAGTGATGTAAAATAGTATTATTAAGTGAACAAGGCTACAATTATAAAGAAATTAGAAGAAAAATGGGTGAAAACTTAACCAAAGGTGGCATTTCTACTGTACACTTTTCTCAAAAGGTTTCCACAATTTTGGCCACTACTGTATAAACAAATACAGAGAAGCTGGAGTGCAGGTAATCCTCAGTTTACGACCACTAGTGAGCCGAAAATGTATGTTGCTAAGTGAGAAATTTGTTAAGTGACTTTTGCCCCAGTTTACGACTTTTCTTGCCACAGTTGTTAAGTGAATTATACTGAGGTTGTTAAATTAGTAACAAGGTTGTTAAGTGAAACTGGTTTCCCCATTGACTTTGCTTCGTAGAAGGTCACAAAAGGGGATCACATGACCTCGGGACACTACAGCCATCATAAATGTGAGTGAGTTGTCAAGTATCCGAATGAAAATCAGGTGACCATGGGGATGCTTGCAATGATCATAAGCATGAAAAATGGTCATAAGCCACCTTTTTTAGTGTCGTCGTAACTTTGAACGGTCTTTAAGCAAATTGTTGTAAGTCAAGGTCTATGTGTAGTGGTTAAGGTGCTGGCCTAGAAACCAGGAGACTGCAAGTTCTAGACCAGGGGTCTCCAACCTTGGCAACTTTAAGATTTGTGGACTTCAACTTCCAGAATTGAAGAGTTGAAGTCCACAAAAAGTTGTCAAGGTTGAGGACCCCTGGTCTAGACCTCTAGCCACGAAGGCTGCTGGATGACTTTTAGCCATTTGCTCTCTCTTAGCCCAATTGAGGCCTTTGAACTATGGTGCTGGAGAAGACTCCTGTGAGTCCCCTGGACTGCAAGGTGATCAAACCAGTCAGTCCTAGAGGAGATCAACCCCGACTGCTCTTTAGAAGGCCAGATCCTGAAGTTGAAACTCAAATATTTTGGCCACCTAATGAGAAGGAAGGACTCCCTGGAGAAGGGCCTAATGCTGGGAAAGATTGAGGGCAACAGAAGAATGGGACGATCGAGAATGAGATGGCTGGATGGAGTCACTGAAGCAGTAGGCATGAGCTTAAATGGACTCCAGAAGATGGTAGAGGACAGGAAGGCCTGGAGGAATGTTGTCCATGGGGTTGCGATGGGTCGGACACGACTTCGCAACTAACAACAACAACAAGCCCAACTGACCTCGCAGGATTGTTGTGGGAAAATATGAGGCAGAGGCATGTTCACGTCTTGAGTTATGTATAATTTAAAAAAAAAGGATGCTGATAAAGTATTGTTGCTATTATATAATATTGTATGTTATTAGTGTTACTATAACTAGGTGTGATTGTTATTTCATTGTGTCAGTAAGGGTTTTGTTTGGATCCACACCTTCCTCTGCTGACCTCATTTACAAATTTGAACTGCCAGAATACCATTCCCATTTTTGCAATGAGTTCACTCAGTGCTGGCAAGCATGTGATTTGGTCCTATAAGTTAATGTTATAAGTGCCTGGTAATTTGTATAGATTTAAATTTGTATAGGTTTAATTATTTACTTGGCCCCCTTTTTGAACCTATTTTTTTAGAGAATCTTCACAATGACTGCAGCTGTAGAGCGGAAGTTTGTTAATTTAAGGAAACGATTGGATCAGTTGGGATACCGACAACCACTGGGAGTAGAAAGCTTGCCTCTGGTGGAAAAACTTTTCAGGTATTAAAAAAAGGAATAAGAGAAAATACTTGCATCAGTGCAGTGCTTTATGGAAGGTGACCCAGTTCAGCAACTTATAAAGCATTATTATTCCCTCAGGCAGGAAGGATGTAAGATTCTTGTGCATCTTTTTTCTTAGAGCTAAATTAATATGAACCTATCGTTTTACATGGACATTAGAAAGAAAACGCTACAATTGATTAGTAATCAAAATGTACGATTACTATTCTATTACATGGCGATTCAACCGAATACTTACAAGAAATTAGAAATACACTGCCAACATTCCATATTTTCATTATTTGTTTTATTAATTTTAGTGACCTTGTTCATACAACCGAGAGCCTCCGGAGCACAAAGTTATCTGCCGGTAAAATTGAAAAAGAATGCAGTAACTTTGACGTTGTTCTAGGACCTTATCGAGAAGAAAATGCCAGGCTCACACGTGAAAATAATGAATTGCACTTAGAAGTTCTGAAATTGAAAGAGCAATTCGAAGAACAGGTCAAAGGTAACACAATTTTTTTTTAAAAAAAAAGCATTCTATCTTACATTTTGCAGTTCGTCTTTGCTATCTGTTTTTAACTAAGTAAGGTGTTGTCCCTAATTCTCAAATTTTCTATCTTGATACTACATTTAAGGGTTTTGTTCAAGACAAATAACATTTCATATTCTCCTCTTCCAAATCTTCAAGCTCAAAAGAAAAACATGCTATAGTACTACACTTTGCTTTTTTCAATTTTCAATTAATTTGGGAAGAAGATAGCAGTAGAGGTTAAATTCTGGTTATAAAATTAACTTTTATTTAAAAGAGCAGGAACCACTGAAATTTTTTTATGCAAGCAGATTCAGACTGGGAATCTGGAAACAAGAAACTTTCGAGCTGAACATTAATCGGGTGTCTATAAATCCAGGTAGTCCTCACTTACCAACCGTAATTGGACTGGAAACTCCATTGCTGACTGATGTGGTCGTATGGCACGATGTTATACAACCGTGCCAAATTATGATGGCCATTCCAGCAGTTTTAAATGGCTGTTGTTAAGCAAATTGCAAGTAGTCGCAGCATCTCCATTTGTCACCTCCTACTGGCTTCCCCGTTGACCTTGCTTGTGAGAAGCTGGCAGTGAAGTTTCCATCTGGTGTTTATGTGACCCTGGGATGCTGCAAAGCCATTGCAAGCCAGTCGCCAAGCCGACCGTTGAAACTTCAGATGGTGGCTAAATGGGTGGAAGTTCAATAAGACAGCCATCTACTGTACAGAATTAACATTTTCATGCGCAAATTTTGTAGGAGAAATGAAACCACTTCATATTATTTCGGGAAACAATTAAGTTGACATTCACTTGATTGGACCTGTTTTTACGACCTTCTTTGTGATGGTTATAAATCAGACTCCATAGACATTAAGCGAATGCTAATGTTGTTTTTGCTGGAAGTAAATGCCAAGCGCCCAAAATGCAATCAGAAGACGGGGGGCGGGGGGGGGGAATGTCAGAACTTTGAAACCAGGTTGTACATCCCTTTTGAGGGGATCTGTCATAACTTCTAACGGATGCTAAGTTGAGGAATGCCTGCCACTAAATCATTGATAATGCCAGTGATTTAATTCTTGCTTCGCATCTTTTTTTCATCATAATGAATGCAGTACTTTTTGGGAGTCCTGAGCATTTACAATGTACTCAATTGGAGAGCTTCACAGAATAACTGTTATAGTGTCTACTCTGTTAAAATGGTTGCAGCAAAGTCATGCAATATTCATTCCATGCCGTCTCTACTTTTCCTTCCTTTCTCTCTCTGTCTCTCACCAAGTAGGCTGTGTCAAATACCATGCAGACATTTTGTTTTTCAACATGCTAGCTTCCTATGCATTTTTATTTTTTAAAAAAATTCAGATGAAACCAAAAATTTGGGGATTATTAAGGGTGACGACTGTATACGCGAGCTCTTGTAGCATAGTGCTGCCTCTGATTATGATTGATAATCATAAATACGTTAATGTAATCATTTTGATGGTGATGCTTTCGGTTCAATCATGTCCAATTCTTACTGATTCTGTGCACCAGCTCTCCTTCTATCCCGCCCCCTCCTCCTCTCTCCCCATTCCCCCAAAAGTTTTTCTGATCATGCATGACTTCTTTCAGTTCTTCTATTCTCTGTCTGGCTTTGATGGTGTCTAGATGACCTGTTTTTTGGCAGCCTTACAATAATTTTAGATACCAGAAAATAGTTTATGAAGAGTTTCTTATGGTTAGCATTGTGCAGTAAAAAATAGAAGCATGGGATCAGATTGTTTTCCTCCTTACAGATCTGAAAGCTACTTTGAGGAAATTTGAACATGAGAATTCAGATATGAAATTTTTGAATAATCAATATATACATAAAATGAGGTCATTAGAAAAAGAAAACAAAGCCAAGACTGACAAAATTCAACAGCTTCAAGAAAAAAACCTACAAGCTGTGGTACAGACACCAGGTACAGTGACAATCTATGTGCTCATCATTCTGGTCTGATGATTCTTTTATTGGACTGTAATTCTGTGCACTCTTATTACTATTGAAGCAACTTCACTGTTCCTTTAGCTTCAGGAACAAAGTATCAGTTTAAGCCAGCGGTTCTCAACCTATGGGTCGCGACCCCATTTGGGGTAGATCGACCATTTCATGGGGGTTGCCAAGCAAGACTGTCCGCCATTTTTTTCCCCTTTTCTGGCGGGTGCCTTACCTCTCTTGGGCTGGGCCAGCTGGTGCCCAGCTGGTGGTCAGCCTGCTCCATCTCTGCCCCTTGCCAACTACGCCTCGGCCGGCGCAGGGGATGGCACCACGCATGCGCGGCGCTCCTGGGCAGTGAAAGTCCTCGACTTACAACCGGTTGGGTAGTCCTCAACTTACGATTGGTTTAGTCCTTGACTTACGACCGGTTTAGTCCTTGACTTACGACCGGTTGGGGGTCGTGGCATTAAAAGAGTTGAGAACCACTGGTTTAAGCACTTGATCCTGAAGAGCATGGGCAAAACAAATAAATGAGTATTTATTTCAGTGGACTCTTGTACTGTTTTTCTAAAGAACTTCAGTAACTTTCCTATTTAGGCTTCAAAGAAGCTGTAAACTATCTTTATTCTCTGAATATCAGGTACAAATTCTGTCTTCCTATTTTTATGCTTTCTTCAATTCCCAGTTTTACTGTTTAAAACCTATTTTAGTGACTCATATACTTGACTAATTTAGTGACTAATTTGCTTGAAAATATCAGGGAATAGCCTCTAACTTATTTTGGTGGAACCCAAAACTGCTAAGCATGGTTGGATCTGATTAGTACTTGGATGAGAGTACCAGGAAATCCCAGGGTAATAGATTTATGACTGGTTGTTTAGCAGCCATTTAAGGTTACAACGGGAACCCCCCCCAAAAGCTATTTGCAACCTGGTCTCAAAGTTATAACTGGTACGTGACCCCCATGACCAAATTCACAAAATTTCCCCTTACAACTGACTAAAAGGATGCTGTAGTGCACCCCCACCTATCTTCCCCATCCTGCCCCACTGGGTCTCCACTGGCCTTGGATCAGCTCCCCTTATTTTAGTGGTTTAATTGTGGCAAGGGGTCCTTGATGCTCTCTTGTTTTCTTGCAAGAAACGGGAGTAGGAGTAACTGTTATCCCCAAATCTCCATTAAACACAGAACTATGTCATTGACTTATGAATTATACCATTTGTGAGGTAATATCATTGCATAAATTATGTAAGTTTAACATGGATGGGTATTATTTGCATAACATTTTAACACAAATGAAATCAATTGATGTGTAAATTTTGTTGCATACGAAGCCCGTAATACCGAGGAATGCTAAATTGAGATTTCATTGAATTCATTTGGCTTCTGGTCTGCAAAATGCACAAAAACTCTATTGCGGCATGAATAGGTGGACCAAAGTCTTTGAGATGGGGTGTTTTAGGGGATAAAATGGTGCCTCACATCTTGTACTTAAAAACTCTCCCAAGATTGGGATTTTTAGATGGTGAAATGATGTCTTAACCATTAGCAAGGTTTAAGATACCGTATATGCTGGCATATAAGACGACTTCCGGAAGCGCTAAACTCGGCGCCAAAGACAGGGGTCGTCTTATATGCCGAGTCGTCTTATACGCCAGAAATACTGGTAGTTTCCGGCGTATAAGACGACGTTCTAGGAATGCGACTTGGCAGTAAAGACGGTCGTCTTATATGCCGGGTCGCCTAATACGCCAGCATATACGGTACTCACTTTACTCCTTAAAATCATCCGTCACCACCACCCACAATGAATCAAAAAGCTTCATCCATCTGAAAAAGTATAGAAAAGAGCTCTGGGGTATACAAAACAGGTCCTAGGAGTCACATCAAGACTGCAGGTTGTTTTGTCACTATTTTATGTATTTGTACGCCCTTAGTGTTTCTTAATCGTGCATTATTTTTTTTATTGCAGCGCCAAGATTATTTATGTTACAGATTTTTAATTAGCACAAATGTATTATTTACTGTTCACATAATCACAAAAAGATCTTATTTTAAAGTGTCGCTGACAAGTAGCTGTTCTTCAAAAACATGAAATTGTACTATTTCCATTTTATATATGAATTATGTATAACAAAACATGATCTGTCCAAACTTCTGGTAATACAGATTTATCTTTGAAGGTGGTAAGAAACGAAATATTCCATTTCGACGTCAGCGTATGCAAATAGATCAGCCTGTTCCTCCTTCAGGGATTGGCGCCTATCCAGTTCCTCAACCAGATGACCCGTATATTGCAGATCTTCTTCAAGTGGCTGACAACAGGTGATTAATCTTTAGCAATATATCAAGGGTCATCTCAATCATTGACATTAGGAGTGGATGGGGTGTGTGTGCAGTTTTAGAAGAAATGCATAATTTATACATCTTTAATTATATTACCCTATACTAGACTGAGAAACAGACCATTTCTAGAGAGATATTTATTTACTTACCAATTACGTAGATTAGATTTGAAGAGTATGGTGGAGACCTTATAATACTCATCTGCTTTCCCTTTTATGTATCAGGTCTAGAAGGAATATAGTTTCTTTCATATTTTGGAGTCTTGTTTCAGAAAAAAATGGGGTTTGAATTTTGTGAAACCATGTATTTCTCAATCTTCTATCAGTTCATTTTTACCCCCTGGTGATCTATGGCCATAATTTGTGGCAACTTCTCGTACTATAATATACAAACATGATAGTGCAGGCCCATATCTAACTCTGAATCTTCTTACCAGGGAAGGATCTCTACAAAATTCTAAATTTTTAAGGAAAGCTTTTTTCTATAAATGTATTTAAAATTGGAAGTTTGTGTTTATGACAGAGGCAAGATGAAGCTGATTTATCTGTGTATTGAATATTTCAGAATTCATGAGCTGCAGATTGAAGTAGGTGACTTGCAGGAAAAGCTAGAGATAGCTGAACGTGAAATGAAAAATTACAGCAAACAGGTATATGAAACTCTTAATAGTTTTGCCTACATATTTGCTAATATGTTTCTGTAAAATTGAAGAAGCGAGTTTATTATTGTCCCATTTCTCTCTATATATCTATAGCTATACATATATATTTGTATCTACTCACACACACACACACACACCATCAACTCATGATGGCGAACATATCTAATACTCCTGCCTCCTACAATATTTTCCCACAACACTAACCCTGTGAGGCGGTTTGGGATGAGAGAGTGACTGGCCCTAAGTCACACAGCTGACTTCCATGCTTAAGGGAGGCCAGAATTCAGTCTCCCATTTTCTAGGCCAGCACTGTAACCCCTTCACCAAGCTGGCTTTCGTCTCTTAATATTAGAGATGTGCAACCCATGTACAAATCTTTCTATGCACAGAGAAGCTAGTTTCTCACGGTCTGGGTTCAGATTAAAATATTCCCATTTCTATGTCTAAACTGAAATATACATGTCCTGGGCAGAAAGGGCAAGGGAGTCGAGGGGACAGCAGGAAAATGAAATATTGGCTACAATTGGGGGGGGTATGGAAAGAAAAGAGCGATATCCCTGGGGCTGGGAAGGATTGGATTGGATGGCCAATATCCTTGGCTTCAGGTGCACCTTATTCAACTTCTTTCCTAACTTTCCACAGTCCTTATTTCCTTTTGTTTTTAATGCCGCGCTTGAGGTCAAGGGCACTGGCAGCGGCAAAGGGGAGGTAGAGAAAGGAAAACCCTGGGAAATGAGCGTGGGTGAGTTGGTTGGATAGCTACTACTACCAGTGTTCTTGGCTTCACGTAGCGCAGTGGTTCTCAACCTTCTTAATGCCGCGACCCCCAACCGGTTGTAAGTTGAGGACTACTCAACCAGTCGTAAGTCGAGGACTACTCAACTGGTGCAGCACCGTTTGCAGACTGGGGCTTTGGGCGGGCTCAGCAGGGCAGAGACAGCCTGGACAATTCCTATTGGCTTTTGAAAGCCAATAGAATTAGACTCTATTCAAGAGAGTCTATTCTATTGGCTTTCAAAAGCCAATAGAATAAAAGGGAGTAGCCAGCTAAGGAAAAGGGGAAAAAAATGGCGGACTGCGTTGTTTGGCGACCCCCGTGAAATGGTCGTTTGACCCCAAATGGGGTCCCGACCCACAGGTTGAGAACCACTGATGTAGCGCATAATGTGTGGGATTATATCCTGGGCACATGACTTATAGCACTGACAGTGTTAACACAAACAGTTATTTTTTTCTTTGAAGGTTGAGCTCCGAGACAGTGAGATTGAACGTTTAGCACTCGCACTAGATGGTGGTCGTTCTCATGATGTCATATCTCTGGAAGCCAAAAGCAGAAGTAATGAAAAAATTATTGATCACCTGAATTTGCAGGTAACACCGTTGAGTCTCTTTCAGCTTCTACATCTAGAGGCCACTAAAGGATAACTGAAAACCTTAAAAGTATGGATCATCTTAATGTTAGGAAATTTCCATTTTTCTGCACCTTGATTAAATGGATTTCCCATGCAAATGGGCAAACTTTTCAAGTGCCATTTGACATAATGACAGCATTACATAAACAGTGCAAAAGGCCAGGCATTAATTGATATAATTTGCATGATAATGACGTCTTCATAGAAATGAGTAACAGATACAATTAGTCTATTAAAATGAGATTTCACTGTTAATTATCAACATTTCCTGGAGAACTATTTTTAGTGTCCTAGTCTGATGAATGTATGCAGATTGTAATTAAAGCTATCTTAATCGTGTTCTTTATGCTTTTCCAGTTTTCTTTTCAAATGTCTGGGGTCTAATATGTAACTTAGGTAATTACGTATAACTTAAAGAGACTTTTTGTCATTCATAGATTTAATGTGTTAATTTGTATTGTAAGGGCAGAAAATACTGTGTTTGTTCATTAAGGAAGATCCTTGAAGGAATTTCTAAATTTTGTTCAGAAGTATTTAACTGGATTACATGGTGTCAATATTTATAGGTTGAATTTCTACAGCAAACAAACAAAGAGCTTGAAAAGCGCATAGAAGATCTTTTGGATAGTAGGCAAAATATGACTAGTGAGGTGGTTCATTTAAGTAACAAAAATGAAGAACTGTGTCAAGAATTGACTGAAATTGATCACTTGGCCCAACAATTGGAGAGGCATAAAGAAATTGTGCTTGAAACTGCAGATAAAGAAATTGGAGAGGCTAAGGTAAGAAAATTTTAGGAATTACTAGAATATCAAGAATATGCTCCGATTCCTTGGGAAAACATTCCACAGTTCATTTTCTTTCACAAAACGTGTGTGTGTGTGTGTGTGTGTGTGTGTGTGTGTGTGTGTAATCAAAGACCTACATACAAACACCCGCAAAAACCTCAGAAAACAAATATATATATATATATATATATATATATATATATATATATATATATATATATATATATATATATATACTGCCAGTGGGGGTATGAACTGATTGGATGAGAGCTTGGCTGTGTTCTGATTGGATGGAGGTGTGTTCTGATTGGTTAGGAGCTTGGCTGTGCTCTGATTGGATGGGGGGTTGGCTGTGCTCTGATTGGTTGGGGGAGTGTTCTGTTTGGGTGGGGGCTTTGTTGTGCTCAGGTTAGTCTGAGTTGCACGGGATGTGAGATGGTGAGCTGCATTGCTATTGTTTGGCTTCGCATTCATGGTCGTGCCTCATCTTCATGGTGAGTGTCAATTTACTTCATGTATGGATTGGAGGGGTTTAAAATGGCTAATGATGCAGCTGTGGTCTGGCTTCTGGTTTGTGGTCGTGCCTCATCATCAGTGTGGGTTTGGGTTTGCTTTTTGCATGGACATGTGGTGGTGACATCCTGTGTGGCTTTTGTGAGTGTGGGTCTGGTATCATTCTTTGTGTTAATGACTCGTTTGTCAATAAGGGCGGGTTTCCAAATGGCTGGTAGGCGGGAGGTATCATTTCGTTTGTTGCCAAGACATTTCCAATTTGACGCTTGGCGACGTTTCGACGAAGTCCCATTCGTCATCTTCAGGCTGGTGCTTTCAGCTTCGTGCTTTGAGCAGCAATGTGTGGTCTTAGCTGTTTCTTCCTTTTAACTGCCAGTGGGGGTATGAACTGATTGGGTGGGAGCTTGGCTGTGTTCTGATTGGGTGGAGGTGTGTTCTGAATGGTTAGGGGCTTGGCTGTGCTCTGATTGGCTGGGGGAGTGTTCTGTTTGGTTGTGCTCAGGTTAGTCTGAGTTGCAGAGGGGTTTAAGATTTTGGGCTGCCTTGCTATTTTCTGGCTTCGCGTTCGTGGTCGTGTCTCCTCTTCATGGAGGGTGTCAGTTTGCTTCATGTATGGATTGGAGGGGTTTAAAGTGGCTAATGATGCAGCTGTGGTCTGGCTTCTGGTTTGTGGTCGTGCCTCGTCATCGGTGTGGCTTTGGGTTTGTTTTTTGCGTGGATGTGTGGTGGTGACATCCTGTGTGGTTTTTGTGAGTGTGGGTCTGGTATCATTTTTTGTGTTAGGGAGTCGTTTGTCAATAAGGGCGGGTTTCCAAATGGCTGGTAGGCGGGAGGTATCATCTCGCTTGTTCATGCTGTGTGGGCGTTTTTCTATCTCGATGGCTTCTCTGATTATTCTGTTATTAAAATGTTCACTTTTGGCAATGGTTCTGGTATTTTTAAAGTCAATTTCATGTCCTGTGGCTTTAAGGTGTTGGACCAGGGAAGATGTTGGTTCCTCTTTTTTGACTGAGTTCTTATGTTCTTCAATGCGTGCACTTATTCTTCTGTTGGTTTGTCCGATGTATGTGGTGGGACAAGTGGTGCATGGGATTTCGTATACTCCTTGATTTTCTAATTCAATTTTATCTTTGGGGTTTCTAAGGATGGTGGATATTTTTCTGTTTGTGCAGAATGCTGTTTTGATGTTGTGTTTATGGAGGATCTTACTGATTCTGTCTGTGGTGCCTTTTATGTATGGGAGGAGGGCTTTGCCGTTTTCTTGTTCTTTGTCTTGGATTTTAGTGGGGGTTTCTTTTTGGATTAGGTTTGTAATCTTATTTCTATGGAATCCATTGGATGTTAGTACATTGGTGAGAGTGTGTAGTTCGGGTTTTATATATATATTGTTTTCTGAGGTTTTCGCGGGTATTTGTATGTAGGTCTTTGGTTGTTCGGGTTTTCTCCTGCGTAAAATTGGAAGTGTCTTGGCGACGTTTCGACGAAGTCCCATTCGTCATCTTCAGGCTGGTGCTTTCAGCTTCGTGCTTTGAGCAGCAATGTGTGGTCTTAGCTGTTTTACGTGGGAGAAAACCCGAACAACCAAAGACCTACATATATATATATATATATATATATATATATATATATATATATATATATATATATATATATATATATATTAATGTATGTGTGTATATGTGTGTGTGTGTATATATATATATATATAATAAAATTTGGATTGCTAACAAAGAATTAAGGGAGAATGGGATAGCTATTTCGAGTTTCTTAACTCTCTTCAGCCACACTTACCCTTCTGAGATTCGAGCCTGGGCTGTGTACATGTTAGGCAGCTGTATTTACCTCTAGGCCACAGGCTCCTTCTCGCTTTGTCAGCTGTATCAGGGAGGGAAGATATATATATTTGTTTTCTGAGGTTTTTGCGGGTGTTTGTATGTAGGTCTTTGGTGTGTGTGTGTATATGTATGTATGTATGTGTATATATATGTATATATATATATATATATATATATATATATATATATATATTTGCAATCCTTTACCAGTTCTATAATTATTCCATATTGCAGATGAAATATTGAAATTACGTGAGACCAGCTAGGGAATGCAGGTAGATTTTAATTTGAAGCTGATTTTCTGATTTATTGGTGTAATGTTTATCCTATTTTACTTCAACAGCTGATTTCTTAAGATAAAAACTTCCTAATATATTCCAGGTAGCTTGATATTTTCTCCCTACCTACCTACCTACCTACCTACCTCCCTTCTTTCTTTCTTTCTTTCTTTCTTTCTTTCTTTCTTTCTTTCTTTCTTTCTTTCTTTCTTTCTTTCTTTCTTTCTTTCTTTCTCTCTCTCTCTCTCTCTCTCTCTCTCTCTCTCTCTCTCTCTCTCTTTCTTTCTTTCTTTCTTTCTTTCTCCCTTAATGGTTCACAATTATGTAGGAACCAGTCAGCTTACTTACAATAGTTTGCATGTTAACAAGCACAGGTATTTAAAATACAATAAAATATGAATAGTAAATCAGAAAAAAATACATTCAAATCTTATTTTAAAAATATAGTAACTATGCAAGTGCAGGAGATAATAATTGGGTGATATTTATTGTAACGAATGCCCTAATACCTATGCAACAATTTGTGTAGAAATATTCTACTTCTCAAATTTAAAATAAAGTTTTATTTTAAAAAAATATTTACAAACATTATTTCATGTAAACAGGAAGAAATTAAAAAAAAACACAGTGAAATACAAGATCGTGAGGAGACCATAGCAAGACTGAAGTTAGTAAGTGACATGCTTATTGAACTGAGTTTACCTTACTTAATAAACTTTGTTATATTTAGGCTTGAATTTAATGCATGTTTGCTCAAGACAATTATTAATAGTGTAAGAAATCAAATCAATAATATAGTTAAAACAAAGCTGCTTTTTTATATTGACACCATTGTAATAGATTTTTATTACCGGTAGTTAGTTTTATAAGCCCAATGCAAATATTCTAAATATCCATCCTACTGAAGATTACCCAGAATAAAACTGGTAGAGTTAGAATGTCTTGCAGTATTTAGATGAAAACTTTCAGATTTGATTTGTGTATCTGGTTTTTCACTGAGGACAAAAATTGGCATATTATTGTTTGAATATTTTTAAGTAGTTATGGATCAGATGATAACAGAGAAATGATAATGCTGTGCTAGACTAAGATTCTTCACTCTTCTCAATCCTAGAATTAAAAATACTCTGGGTAAAAATGTTATCCGTCTCTATTTTGTTATCCGTCTCATTTTCTCTGAAAGGTCATTTGCAGCCCGGTTTTACTCCTGGATCCATTTTGTCCCTTGAGTTGTCATCTGGCTAACTGCACTGTATCGTGTCCTACCGCATAATGAATCTGCCCTTCAAGCCTTCTGGTGCAGAATATGGCTATGTAATAAAGCTATTGTTGTAGTTCCTAGACGAAATAGCATCAGTTCTCAAAGAACTGCACTGGGAGCCAGTTATTACTAACTGCATCTCGTTAAATGTTTTAATTGTTTAAGATTGCAGTACTTGAGGAGAACACCCCTAGTATATATTTGTCTATGACAGGGGTCTTCAAACTTGGCCCTTTTATGACTTGTGGACTTCAACTCCCAGAATTCCTCAGCCAGGCACTCTGGCTGAGAAATTCTGGGAGTTGAAGTCCACAAGTCATAAAAGGGCCAAGTTTGAAGACCCCTGGTCTACGACCTGTAGTGCAGGAGCTCTTCATTGTTTCATGACTGGGATGAGTGCATTCTGTGGGAATGCAGGAGTGGACTTCATTGTGATACCATGACTTTGGGATATCCTTTCAGCAGAGGCTAGGTTAGTGCTGACTAAACATATCCCTCCGCATAAGGTAAAGAAATTGGGGTTTGTACTCATGTGAAATTTAGCTCAACCTTGCTTTGATCTCTTAATCACTTTTGTATTAATAATCTTTATCTGATACTGTATATTTTAACTACTATGTTTTTATTTTATTTGTCTTCATTGTTTTATCTTGTTTTTAATAGATGGTTTTTCCACCACGAGATTTTCTGGGTATTGAATAGCCTATAAATAATACAAATTGACTAATTGTCAGCTTATAAATAATATATCAAATTGTATCTAAGCCAGATTTTATAATTTCTCTGAAGTAACAATGAATGCTTGGTGCATCTAACTTGAATATATAGAAATGTTATGCAATCAAAAAATATTGAGTTTTTTAAATGTCATTATAGCCACAATTCTAAGTTTTGTAATATTTTTGTCACATTAGGAGTTATCTTCCTATCGCAGAGAAAAAGAAAAATTGAGTGAAGAACTCTTTGGAAAAACAGAGGAAAAACAAAATCTTGACATACTATTAAACCAGACTCAAGTAGAAAACCACAGGTTGTCCAAAAAAGTTGAAAACCTTGAAATTATAAGTAAGTATCTACATTCCCACAGGCTATTAGAGATGGATTTCCTGCCTCAAATGAAATCTTGGAGGGGGGGGGAAATCTAATGAAGGAGAGTCAGGAACATTTACAAAATTCATAGCTGAATTGTTTATTAAATATTTTCCCACTAATTCTTTCAGATTTTGGTTCCTTTCCTGAGAAGAGCAGAGTCCTTTGCAAAAGTTGTTAGAATAATACTATTTTGCAAATTTAAATATTTGGTTACTGTATATTAATATAATATAATTATTGTATCCTACAACTGACAAATATTAAATAAACTCTAACCCCTACCCCTTGTCCTAATCCTAACCCAGCGGTTCTCAACCTGTGGGTCGCGATCCCATTTGGGGTCGAACGACCATTTCATGGGGGTCGCCAAACAATGCGATCTGCCATTTTTTTCGTCAGCCGGCGCAGGGGGTGCCGCCGCGCATGCGCGCCACGCAGGGGCGGTGCATGGGGCGGCGCCACGCAGGCGTGCCACGCAGGGGGCGGCCCTGCACATGCGTGCCGCGCAGGGGGCGGCCCCGCGCATGCGTGCCGCGCAGGGGGCGGCCCCGCGCATGTGCGCCGCCTGCTTATGACCGGGGTCGCCGTATAAAAAGGTTGAGAACCACTGTCCTAACCCATTGAACCATCATTTCAGAGATATTTCCCTACCTAAATAGAGAAACAGAATAACTAAGGACTGACAAAAAAGCAGGGCGTGCGATTTCGGACTTCCCGCCAATTTCCCCATTGAGTTTCTTTGTAGGTAAACTGACAGGGGTTATCATAAATCTTCCTTTCTCTTCCCCTCCCTTCTTTCATTAGAAATAGAAAAAATTTGAAAGAGTTTTTCTTTATCATGTCTGTAATGAATACTTTAGCTGAAGACTTCACCTGTAAAGAAATGTCATCCTTGCTGATTGTGGTCTGTTGCAGATCGGGAACTTGTCATAGAGCTCGAGAGAATGAGGCTTGACGGTGGCATAGCACTTGGAGACAAGTCCCCTTCTCGCCTAGATGCATTTGTGAAAACCATAGAAGAAGACAGGGACTATTATAAGCGAGAACTAGAGTGTCTCCAAAAGATATTTAAAAGAAAATCTAGCCCATTACTCAAATCTCCAGAAAAGGTAATACTTACTTTATTTAATGTCATACTTTAATGGCACCACATAAAATCCAATTACTCGTCAAATTATCTTTTAAAATTTTAGCTTTATAGTGTGCTGGTATGGGTCAGCTAATTCTTTCTGTAGCAGACTGATTATTTACTAGGGCAGTGATGGCGAACCTTTTAGAGACCGAGTGCCCAAACTGCAACCCAAGACCCATTTATGCATCGTCGGGTGCCGGGTGGGTGTGGCCATTGGGTGGGTGTGGCCCATTGGCTGGGCGTGGCTGCAGTGGTAACGGCAGACTGGGTGGGACTAAAAAGTTCAATCAATCAATTCCCACTTTGCAAGATCTTTTTTTTCCCCTCAAGAAGTTGAAATTGACTGATTGAACTTTTTTTTTTTTTTTGCACACAGCGGTCGAGGCCTAAAGCGAAAAGGTTTTAAAAAACCCAGATGAAGGCCTAGGACTGGGGCGACGGTGCGCGTGCCCGCAGAGAGGGCTCTGAGTGCCGCCTCTGGCATCCGTGCCATAGGTTCGCCACCACTGTACTAGGGAGAAGGCTGCTTTCATACTTCAGCAGTATGTTTGGTTTTATTTCTTGCCTCATTTCCTTTAAATGTCTTCTCCTCCTCCTCTGCACTCAACTTGCATCCTTGTCACTCCTGACTACGAAGTCAAATAGGAAATCCAGATCACAGCTGCCTATTACTTTACAAACAGCTGTTAGCAGCCAGTAAACCGAAAAGGATTGTACAGGTAGTCCTCAACTTACAACAGCTCATTTAGTGACTGTTCAAAGTTACAACTGAAAAAAGTGTGACTTACAACCATTTTTCACACTTACGTGACTGCTGTGGTCACGTGATTTATATTCAGGTCATGTGATTCCCCTTTTGCGACCTTCTGACAAGCAAACTCAATGGGGAGACCAGATTTGCTTAACAACCATTTTACTAATTTAACAACTGCAACGATTCACTTAACAAATGTGGCAAGAAAAGTCGTAAAATGGGTAAAACTCGCTTGATCAATTTCTTACTTAACTGCATAAATTTTGGGCTCAATTGTGGTCGTAAGTGGAAGACTACCTGCAGTAAAAATGATGTAGTCAGGCAGCATCCTCAACTGTTTAGATGTATAATCAAATAATAATAATAATAATGTACACTTTAATAAGGGAAAAAACTAGTTTTCCCCAGTTAAAGTTAAATATGAGGCAATGTAGCATGGTTAGTATCAAAATATTAGCATACTTTGATCCCCAGTTTTATTGAATTCAATATTTCCTTCTTAATAAGCATGATTAATCTCTTTCAGCTACAGATAGTCCTTGGCCAGGGGTAGGCAACCTCGGCTCCTTTATGACTCATGTACTTCAACTCCCAGAATTCCTGAGTCAGCTACCTTGGCTTATAACAGTTTGTTTAGTGCAGGGGTCAGCAACCATAAACACTCAAAGAGCCACTTGGACCCGTTTCCCACAGAAAAGAAAACACTGGGAGCTGCATAACTTGTGCGTGCATGTGCGCATGCATCGGAGGGGAGGGCTTGATTGAAGAGTTTAATTAAAAAGAAATAGAGGGTGCTGTGCATGAGTTCTCTCTCTCTCTCTCTCTCTCTCTCTCTCTCTCTCTCTCTCTCTCTCTCTCTCCCCCTCTCTCTTGTGCTCTTTTTTCTCTCTCTCCCACTCTCTTTCCTCCCCTCTCTCTCTCTCCCCCTCTCTTTCTCTTGTGCCCTCTCTTTTTCTCTCTCTCCCCCTCTCTTTCTTTCTCCTTCTCTCTTTCTCTCCATCTCTCTCTCTCTCTTCCCCCCCTTCCCTCCCTCTCTCCCTGTCTCCGATCAAACGGAAATACAGAATTATTTCAAGCATCTTAAAAATATCTCTTTGCTAGATGTAAATAAATATCATTTACTCATTAGTAATAATTATGCCTCAGACAAGTCTCAGCCCTACGCATAAAAAGGAAGGTAAATAAGAAACTATAAAGTCATCAAAATTCAGATGCTTGGCAACTGACTAATTTTTATGACTGTTGCAGTGTTCCAGGGTCACGTGATTCTCTTTGGTGACTTTCTGACAAGCAAAGTCAATGGGGAAGCCAGATTTGCTTAACAACCGTAACCATGTGATAAAGTGGGGCAAAGCTCACTTAACAAATGTCGGCAACAGAAACTTTGGGCTCAATTATGGTCATAAGTTGAGGACTACCTGTAATTCGGTTAGAAATTATTTGTAGTTCTATCTTTACCTATTTTGTTGACATATGAAATTCTTAAAAAGACTTCAGTAAACAAAGGCCAAATAGAAAATGCTACTATTTCCTCAAAGCAATTTTGTTATAGAAAAGCATTTATGTCATTTGTAAAGGTATTTAGTAATTTCCCTATAATTAACAAACATAAGTGAACAACAAGCCTGTGTATTTTTCTCCTCCCTCTCTAACATGACCACAGGAGAAGATGGAAACTCTTTTAGCCTAATTGCAATTTGCATTTGAATCTGGGCAACAAATGGTTAGAAACTGACTTGTTTTGACTACCCATAATAAATATAATAACAGGGTGTTTCACGGCCCTACCTGAGGAGGTAAAATAGATCTGCAGGCTGAAAGTTCAGAATGTATTTAACCGAGTTTTAGTGCTGTGCTTGAATATTGAGATCTTGGCTAGATAACTGACATAAAACCAGAATTCCCCAATTCTGGACAATGTTAACAATACAATCCAGGGCCAGTTTTGTATGATTCCTTGCTAAATAAACCATGATTTATAAAGCGTGGAATGATTATTGTTTTTGGACTGCAGTCCTGTCATTAATAATATGTATGTTATTGACCTGTTTAGTAATATGAGTGAATATATATTATATAAAGCATATTCTTACTTTTTCCTTTCCCCCCCCCTTTATTTTGCAGAGTGAAGACCTTAGATTAGTTATACGAGAGAGAGATGAGCTACAGTCTATGCTAGACAGATTTGAAAAGCATATGATAGAAATTCAGTCTAATGTCAAACTACTAACTGTAGAAAAAGATAAATTAAGTATCCTTTATGAACAGGTAAATAAATATAACCTTGATCCAGAGTAATATATAACTAATGTAATGAAAATCTGCAGTCTCGTCAAAAAGAAGCTAGATTTATTGAACTATTGTAAACTCCAGTTTAGAATGAGAAAAAAGAATGTAAATGCAGAACAAAATATTAATAGATATTGGATAATCATTTATCCTATGACACATATTTTGCTATCTATGAAAGGAATGGGATTCCACCCAACATAATTTCATATTTGTAGTTCCTGAATGCACTGCATAAGTATATGCGTGAAAATACATATACTTATTGTGTATCTCTGTTAAAAATCTAGTAATTACTTGGCTAAGCATATTGTATTTACTTTGATTTGTGTGAGCTGCCCAGAGCTATTGAGTCAGGTGGCATATAATTTTAATAAATTATTCATTTCCTGGGTTAATGCAATTAGACTTTGATGTTTATTGGAAGCAGATTGAGTTTTGATATTAAGCCTCCTGAATATTTAATATTAATAATATTTAATATTGTTAATACATATTAATAATTATCAAATTTACTATATTGATATTAATATGAGCTCATATTAATATGGTAATATAATATATATTGATAATTAAAACAATAATATGTAATATTATTTAATATATAGTTTTAATTTTTTCCATGAAGGAAAAAATACTTTAAAAATAGGTAGAAAGACAAAGTCTGGAATAGTTACTTTAAATTAATTATTTGATAATGTTAAATTTAGGAACAAGGTTTTCTTGGTTTGCAATGTAGGAAATTTGAAGATATATTTAGCTAATTTGGTCAAGGCCAGTTTCTTTTTAAAGAATATGTAGCATATATAACTAGATTTCTGTGTAAATGTTTTCAAGTCAAAACTGTCAAGGTTATTTTCAATAATATTCCAAAATTGTGGACAGTAAAGTGTATTGGTCATTCATATATATATATATATATATATATATATATATATATATATATATACACACACACACACACACACACACACACACACACACACATACACATACACACATATACATATATATATATGTAGGTCTTTGGTTATTCGGGTTTTCTCCCATGTCAAATTGGAAGTGTCTTGGCGACATTTCGACGAAGTCTCATTCGTCATCTTCAGGCTGGTGTTTTCGGCTTCATGCTTCTAGGAGCACGAAGCCGAAAACACCAGCCTGAAGATGACGAATGGGACTTCGTCAAAACGTCGCAAGACACTTCCAATTTGACATGGGAGAAAACCCGAATAACCAAAGACCTACATACAAACACCCGCGAAAACCTCAGAAAACATATTATACATGTATATGTATATATGTATATATAAAAATAAGGTTATTAAATTAAATATCAACATTTTAATGTTTTTAGTTTTAGTATTATATATTTCATAAGTATATGCTGGGTATTGTTTTCTTTTAATTTGTTTTTGTATGCTTTGCTTTTTGTTCTTGCCTTTTAAAAATTGCAATAGCATTATAATGTATTTAATGACTTCTTCAAAAACTAGAGAGCCAGTTTGGTCTAATGGTTAAGGCACCAGACTAGAAGCCAGGACAATATGAGTTCTAGTCCTGCTTTAGGCATGTTTGCTGACTACATGACTTTGGGCCAGGCAGTATCTCTCAACCCCTCTCAACTCATGTGGTTGTTATGGGGAAAACAGGAAGAGGGAAAAAGCATAAATTCAACACCTTGAGTTGTTTATTTAAAATAATAAAGGCAGAGTAAACATTTTTTTAATTTTGTATTTTTAGTCTCAGAATGAATTAAACCATCTACGGAGAGAGAAAAAAACCTGTTTTCTAACAAAAAACCATGCAGAAGAAGAAAGAAATATGGCACTGGCTGATTTTAGAAGAGTAGTATCAGAGAAAGAAGGACTAAGGGAGAAATTAAAGGTCAGCTTTTAATATTTTCCGTAGTTTTCAGTAATAAAATAATTTTGATCTGGCTTCTTATTTAAAGTGGCTATCTCTGGGTCCTGTAACTTCAGACTATTACCGATAACATCATAAGGATTTCAAAAAGTGCATTTTAATTTTTTTTATAAGCATTATGTTAAGAGTATTGCTAAAACTTTCTTTTTCCAATGTTGCCTAACCTTTCACTATGCCCCAGACCAAAAAAATTACAACAGAAAATTTTTTCCATTTTGAGAATTTGGGCCAAATGTTAATTTGGCCCAAATTCTCAAAATGGCAAAAATTTTCTGTTGTAATTTTTTGTTTGTTTGTTTGGGGCATTGTTCAATGTTAGGTAACATTAGAAAGAGAAATTTACAGCTGATTTGCAATAATTGATTGTTGATATACAGTATATTGTTTGTCAACATTTGAGTTGAGAGTTGCTTTGCAGAGTGAGATAAATGGCATATAAATCAAATAAATAAACATTTGGGGAACTTTTTAACAAAGGAGTAAGGGAGAATACCTTTGAGCAATGTAGTCAACTTGTTGGACTAGTTCTTTTTCCCAGCTTTTAACAATTTTTATTACTATAATTGTTAATTTTAAGGCTATATTATCTTGTTCATTGTAGATGTATGCATTTTTCTTTTTTTAATTTAGTTTGATATAATAAAAAGGATTAAAATAGGAATGCACCCATCACATAATTAATAAAATTATCCTAAATAAAAAAAAGTCTGCATATGAAGGAAGCGGTTAAAATCTGAAAACAATTTTCACACATGCTACATCTTCTGTTAATAAATTCTAGGTACCAGATTTAATCTATATGAAAACAAATACTTTTTTCTCTAATACAGGGGTTCTGTTGGGAACCAGACCACACAAACAATGGTGCAGCTTCATGCAAAACCATCCCTTCTTCCCATCCCCTGCCACTGTCACTATCAGTCTGCAGAGCCAGAAAAGATTGGGGACTGCTACTGTAGTAAATTGCTTATATAAAGTTCAAGGTGTTATGCAGAGGTTATGCAGTGAAGCAAGAAAAAAAAATACAAGCTCACTTTGAATTAATAAGTTATTCCACTTTTTTGTTTTGCTCCTTATTTACATGTACTTTCAACTATATTTGTGGTTCTAAAGCAGTGGTTCTCAACCTTTCTAATGCCGTGACCCCATAATACAGTTCTCCATGTTGTGGTGACCCCCAACCACTTATAAATCATGGGGCGCCAGGGGCGTGGCCAAAGAAAAAGAGGAAAAAATGGCGGACAGCCTTGTTTGGCGACCCCCGTGAAATGGTTGTTCCACCCCAAATGGGGTCCCGACCCACAGGTTGAGAACCACTGTTCTAAAGGAAAACAAAATAGATGCCATTTTCCTTTTGACAGTCATGTACCATTAAGTCATTTCATTGTCAAGTTTAAGAAATTTTATTCCAAAATGCAGTTAGGATAATTGGGGATATTTTAACATTATTAATGAAAGGGCTCATTACTGATCTTTCTTACTTTGTTTTGCTAGATCCAGCAGGAGGAATATACTTTAGATAAATTAAAATTGGAACAGGAAGTATCAAGATTGGAAAGCACTCTTAAAAGAGTAAGTATTTAGCCCAAATATTCTGATTGGATTTGGAGCCATAATTTTTTTATGTAGTCACTATTTCATGATTATTTGAAAAGAAATCATAAGGGCCATATATATATATAAATATATAAATAATTCCTGTTACTACAAGGCAATTTACTTTATTGTGGATTTCACTGCCATTGATCCTTACTATCATTTTAGTGGAGCATACTGTGAAGGACTGCTTTAAATTGCAGTCTCTAAAATACATTCAGTTTAAAAGTGTCACGCAGGTTTGGAATTTCTTTTGCTCTGCAGTTGGAAACAGAACGACTTGATCAAATATCTACAGTGTCATTGTTAAAAGACAAAATAAGCTCTTTGGAAGATGAACTAAGCATTAAGACACATCAGCTCTTAAACACATCTGAAGATTCTTCACAGTATAAGGCAGAATTGAGTTCACTAAAGTAAGCTCAGCTATGTATTTTATAACGATTAAATGTGCATTTGAAATTCATTTGATGCTGTGGCTTCAGTGATATGCCCCTAAAAAAGAGGTCTCCACTTTGCATTTGCCTGATAATCAAACTGGAAGTAATAATATGGCTAATCTGATTGAACAGTAAGAAAAACATATGCTGAATTTGTTTAGAAAAAGTTTATATTAATTTACATGTTCTAGAAATTAATATTGATCCAGTGATTAATAACACAAATATTTCTTGTGTGTGAGTTCCTAGATGGTGATAAGACGAAATTTAAGGTTTATATGCCCAGATACGCAGGGATTAATATTAAGTGGCAGGGCAAGCTAGTGAATATAAATAGACAGCAAATTCCATACTTGTTCACACTGATGATGTTACCTAATTGGTAATGTCATTCAGTTTCAATTATGTAATTATGTGTGGTGATATTCATTCCTACGAAAATTAAAAGGACGATTTTGGAAAACATGATTTTTCATTCTGGGAAGTCTAGAAAAAAAGGTACAGCATTGATTGCTCTTTTATTCAATTTAGCTCACTATTTCTTTATAAATTATAACACCCACTGAAGATACTGTACAGTATAAATGGAATCATATCCTGTGGCCAATATTATATTTAACATAACTGTCTTGATTTTACAGACTATTAAATGAACAGATTCAGAAATCCCTAGATGAGATACAGCACCAACTGTCTTTTAAAGAAAATGAACTTCAATCAGCTCAAGAGGAAATTGAGATATTAGAGAACAAAATAGGTGAATGAAGTTGTACTGTATTATTAAGAAAAAAAAGTACAAATCTAGTTCAGTTCTGCACAAAATCATTCACAGTCAGGTTTTAACAGGAGTAAACAATATAAATAAGACAAGTAATTTTTTGGTTCAAACTTGAGGCTGAATTTAGCATTCAGGCTGAATTTATTCTAGTTGCTGGACTTTCTTCTTCATGTATTTTGTAAAGTTTGTATTATTCAAATTAGTTAATAGTAAATGTATACATGCAACAATATTAATGAAAAGTGATTCAAAATTAAGTATAAAAAGCCTTTGTATAAACAACTACAAAAATGTGAACATATTCCTTGAATGTCATTTTTGCCTCTTTATCAGAAAAAATATTCAAATGCTGACATCAGAAATACTCAAAAGGAATTATAGACACTTCTATCTTTTATCTTTGAATAAGAGGGTGGGATAAAATTTCTGGGAATTCTTATCTTAAACAAAAGCTAGAATACAACTGAGGGCATCAAGTCTAGTTTGCTCCAATTCATAGATTAATTGGATAGAATACCATACTCATGTATGAGTATAATATAATAGTATAGTATAATCTGCATTGAGTACATTGTTTTGCTCTGCCCTCTGCTATAATTCCATTAGGATTTTTAAAAATTCTGATTATGTGTATTACAGATTCTAAAGCTTAATTAAGGAAAAAGCAAAAAAAAAAAATCCCATTTGTTTCAGTACCTCAAAGTATACTTAATGAAAGAGAGAGGATGCCATTAATAATTATGCAGTGTAGATTACAAGCTACATTTATCTGAAATATAACGGTTCTTGTTTGTTTATTGCTTTTCTAGATTTCGGGCCGTCCTAGTTTTATAATTTACGTTTTCTTGATGTTTTTATAATCTCTATGTAGATTATAAAAATCAAACTATATTTTCTTGGTGTTTTTATTTTACACTGCCCAGAGTCATCATAGAGCTGACATCTTCATACATTTTAAAAAAGCAAATAGTACTTAGGGTGGAAAAAAACCCTAAAAGTCAAAATGGCAGCCATTCTCTGACAGATATTTCCAAACTTCACCAGGATTTTAACTTTCCAGGTCACATATCTGGTTTGAAATTAGCAAACAGCAGAAGTTTTGTAAAAAGCAAAGCTTTAACATACTTTTCAGTTAAATTGGGATGACTGACTATTCTTCCCCAATCATTTGTTGAATGTAGCAACAAGAGAATTTATCAGCCTCATAATCCAGAACACAGGAACCCAGAACAAATACATCAGTACTGGTGTGCTTACAGGGGTTAGGGTTTTACGTGGTCAAAGCAAGTGAACCAACTAAACTTTTTGTTTTTTTGCTGTTTTCAGATACACTCAATACTAAGAGCTCATCGCAAAGTGAGACTGTCATTCTGCTCAGAAGTACTGTTAATGCCTTGGATAAGGAAAAAGATAGCCTTCAGGAAAGTATAGATGAAAAAACTGAAAAAATTGCATATCTAGAAGACAATTTAGCTAACAAGGTATTTATACAAAATAGGAAATGGAATATCAGAACCATTTTATCTTAATTCTTATTGAATAAAGGGCAAGATGTTTTTTTTTGTTTTTGTTTTCCTATAACCCTTTTTCCATTCTGTTAATTTCTTTCTCTTTCTTCTAGCAACTTTGTTTTTATAATATTAAGAAGGTTTATGGAAAGAGAGGAATAAGAAAACCATCCAATCTGGGAAAACTAGCCCCAAGGTGTTATGTGGGACTCTTAAGAACTTAATTGTATCTGCCTGATAAAGGAGCATGCACAACATAAGTTCCTTTTGTAACCTTATATCATTAGATGGTTGATGGAGAGATAAGGTTCTGGTTAGTAGATGGCATCTGATCTTAGCTTTGGTGCTGGAATCACCAGATGTCGCTATAAGATTGATGAATATTAAGCAAAGTTCAACAATCATCCACTTTGATGATAAATGGCTGTTCCCAGCTCTCAACAAAAGGACAGTCTTTATGTAAGGCTAGTGGAAATCTTCTATTCCAGTCTTCCCATGGAGCAAAGGTGTTCTCCCCCCCCTCCACACCCACAGAAACCACCACACAGATGCCTTATATAGGAGGGGGCCCCAGGCCACAGCCCATTCGGAACTGAGCTACAGAAATGGTGGGCGAGCACACATGCACATGAGTTCTGTATACAGCTGCATTTGTGAAAGCAGCATGAACACATGTGAAACCATCCCTTCTGCCCGCCCTCCCCCCCCCGAGCAGGAAAGGATGGGGAACTCTGTTATATAGGATATTTAAGCTCTGCGTAGACGTTCTGAGCAGCAGAGAAACCTCCATACCTTGAGAATTCATGGGAAAATATGGACCCAAAAGATAAAAAAGTTAGCCAAGAGTCATCAACTCCTCCCAGATTCTGAATACATAATAGTTTTACCCAGTTCATATTATGCCTTGCTTACTAGCTTGAAGGTAATGAGAGGCAGCATATAACAAATAGTATTTAACAAGGAGTTACCAAAAAGGTTCCCCAGACAAGGGTGTTCTCCAACCAGACTTTTTCATTTTATTTCAAAAGCCTAAAAACCTCTAGGACAGTGATTCTCAACCTTTCTAATGCCGTGACCCCATAATACAGTTCCCCATGTTGTGGTGACCCCCAAGTGGGTGTGGCCACCAATAAGAGGAAGTAGGACAGCTAGGGAAAAGGGAAAAAAAATGGCGGACAGCATGGTTTGGCGACCCCCGTGAAATGGTCATTTGACCCCAAATGGGGTCCCGACCCACAGGTTGAGAACCACTGCTCTAGGACTATCAGTTCATTTGAAGTTAATATTTCCTAATTTCATAGGAAATTAAGGCTGCCTGCTTTAATCTATGGAATGATAATGAGGTGCCTATGAGAGGTCCTGCCTTATTTAAAGAACAGAATTGGGGGTATTCACTATCAAAGTTTGATCTTCATAAGATAAATGTCATGACTTGAACAAAGGAGACTTCTAAGGACTTTGAAAATGGTTCACAAACTTTTAAGCATACTGTATGTTAATCAATTTTGTAAACCACTAAATAGTTTGTCTTTTCACAGCTGAAAAATAAGCTTTTTGATTACAAGTCCTTTTTTTTGTCCAAAAGTCAAAATAAAGCATTAATTTCATTGCATCTCTAACAGCATAAATGCAGTGAAGTCATTTCTAAAAGATTCTTGTTGAAAAATATGCAATGTAAAAAACTATTGGGTTTTTTTGTGTTTTTTTAAAAATACACCTCTTTATTAAGTAAAATCAAAAGCAAAAAGATACATATGCATATGTAGAGGACTTTTACATTTTACATTTATATTAAAAATAATATTAAAAGGTCATTCTAGTAGCTACCCTTTTTTTCTCTTCCATTCTTCCCAGCTATTTGCCAAATATTTTCATATTTTACTCTGAACTTTATTCATTTTGCCTGGATCATTTAATTATGGTTATTATTACTATGTGCTTCTATACACTCAAAAAGTGTAAAGACATAATTTGGATAATTTTCTAGAAAATTAGTGAAAATTAAAAATTAAACAAGCAAAAAAAATATTTGAAAGATTAAAAGAACAAAATTATATCTAGTAAATGTTTAGTAGTATTACTATTAACAACTTTGCCACTTAAGTTGCCAGTAAAATCATGAATAAAATTGCTTATAAGTGGTTGGCGCAGAACTATAAATGTGTGTTAAAGTTGTATTGATATGTCTATATAATGTCATGCATATTAGTGTTGTGTGCTTGTTGCAGGAGTTTTGAAAGAAATATTTGGTTAGGATAGAGAAAGGATTGTTTGTCAAATTAAATCTAATCCTATGTTAGATTTAAAATTACAGGAAAAGAAAATACATAACATGCATAACTCTCTGTCTTTAAACAGGAAAAGACTATCCTCAACTTACAAAAAACAGTTGCTCAGTTGGAATTGTCTTTAGAGTAAGTAATAAAATTATAACTTGGTTATTCTGAAACTCATTTTAAAATGGTCAGGGGTAATTTTAATGAGATTCTAAAACTAACTGTGCCATGCATACTTCATGAGGTAAAATAGAAGAAAGAAAAAAACTGGAATTTTGTAGTTTAGCTAATTTTATTTTAGATAATTGTGTTATATATCAGGGAAGCTATTAAATGGAATGCTTATTTAGCATAAGATGATGGATGTGCAGAATACTTTACTGTATATTATAGCTTTTGTTAAATGGCTTGTTACCTTCTAAAATAACTATGCTTTTTTTATTCAAACCACTTTTATAACCATTCACTTTAATCTCACTGAAGATATAACATTTCACTGTAAAGTTGTTTTCTAGGTCTTCTGACCTTCTGTCTTTCTAATTCTACTATATTGCTAATAACCTCTTTTTTAGTATCTAATTGTATTTCTGAAAATTTTAATTCAAATTATTTATTGTATAGACTCGAAAGAGGCATTATTCATAGCTTGGGATATGAGTTTTTATATTAATAATATTTGATGCTCTCTACCCACAAAGGAGCATAGTAAGATAGAGCAGCATATCAATTACTGTCTCTCTGTACAAATAGGAAAAAGAAATGAAACAGATAGAGATGGTTCACTGTGATATCCCAAACTGAAATTTTGATCTACTCTGTCGAAACAAGGTAGAAGTGTAAGCCAATGATAAACTAGTAATTACTAATAATTGCCTAGTAATTTGGGATCAGTTTGACCCTGTTGCCCCTAAGGGAGTGGAAAGGATACTCCGCATTGTCAGTGCAACAACCTGTCTTTAAGATCCTTGTCTGTTCTGTCTAGTGAAAGCCTCCAGGACGGTGACCAGCAAGTGGGTTCATGCAGTGATAAATTCCTCACTGTGAGAGGGGATTTTCCCAGGACCTTTTAAGAAGACTCTGTTTTGTCAAATCCTTAAGAAACCATCACTTGATTCCACCTGCCTGGACAATTTTTGTCCAGTTACCCAACTTCCCTTTTTAGGGAAAGTGGTAGTAAAAGCAGTTGCTTGGCAGCTCCAGAGAGTTCTAGATGAAATGGATTTCTTGGATCCCTTTCAATCTGGATTCAGGCCTGGTCTTGGGATAGAGACAGCCTTGGTCGCACTTACGGACGATCTCTGGCGAGAGCAAGATGAAGGTAGTACAATCATTCTTGCTCTTCTTGACCTCTCAGAGGCCTTCAGTAGCATTAACCACGATATCCTTTTGGGCCAGCTTTGTGAGTTGGGGTTGGGATGGCAGAGTTTTAAACCGGTTCAATTTCTTTCTCTCCCCCTCCCTCCCGATGGCTCCCAATTGGCGTTGATAGGGAATGAGAGATCCAACCCCCAACTGCTCACTTGTGGCATCCAGCAAAGTTTGGTACTCTCCTTTCCTATTTAACACCCACGTGAAGTTGCTGAGTGAGATCATCCATCCCCATGGGTTGAGATATCATCAATACGCCAATGATACTCAACTCTACATTCTATACACGATGAGCCAAGTTATGCGGTCTATGTCCTCCCGCGATGCCTGGAGGCTCTGGGGTTCCTGGATGGGTGACAATGGACTTCCACTGAACCCTGGCAAGACTGAGTGGCTTTTGGTATAGGGAGTTTTGGGATCCAGGGTTTTTGTCATCTCTGGTTCTGGACAGGGTTGCATTGTTCCATTCAGACCCAGGTTGCAACTTGGAGGTTCTCCTGAACTCGTGCCTCCTACTCGAAGAGCAGGTAGCAGGCAAGATTAGGAGAGTTTTTGCACAGCTCTGGTTTGTGCAACAGCTGTAACCCTTCCTGGATCTTGACACTCTGTGCTCAGTTACTCAAGCTCTACTCATCTCTCTTCTGGACTCCTGCAATGTGCTCTACGTGGAGCTACTCTTGAAGCTTCCTTTGGTGCAAAGTGCAACAGTGAGTGCTGTCTTTGAAGTTTTTAGGATGGCTCATATTACACTGCTGCTCCATGAACTACACTGGCTACCAGTCTGCTTTCAAGTGTAGTTCAAGATGTTGGTTATGACTTTTAAAGCCCTTAATGCAGTGGTTCTCAACCTTTTTATACCGGCGACCCCGGTCATAAGCACGCGGCGGGCATGCGCGACGCCGCCCCCATGTGCGGTGCCGCCCCATGCGCCGGCTGAGGAAAAAAATGGCGGAAAAAATGGCAGATCGCGTTGTTTGGCGACCCCCGTGAAATGGTCGTTCGACCCCAAATGGGGTCGCGACCCACAGGTTGAGAACCGCTGCCTTAATGGCATAGGTCCAGGCTACCTGATGAACCAGATTGTCCTGCTAAGTCTAGCCCAGTGATTCTCAACCTTTCTAATGCCGTGACCCCATAATACAGTTCCCCATGTTGTGGTGACCCCCAAGTGGGTGTGGCCACCAATAAGAGGGAGTAGGAAAGCTAGGGAAAAGGGAAAAAAATGGCGGACAGCATGGTTTGGTGACCCCCGTGAAATGGTCATTCGACCCCAAATGGGGTCCCGACCCACAGGTTGAGAACCACTGGTCTAGCCTGTTCTACTCGGGCTTTCAGGGAGGGCCCAATGCAGATCCTGTCGGTCAAAGAACTCTGACTCTCGGGATCCAGGAAGAATAGCCTTATCTGCCACAGCACCTGCCCTTTTCAATATCCTGCCCTCCGGGATAAGATCTGTCACCAACCTCCATAAGATCCCAAGGACCTGGCTTTGCAAGATGTCTTGGTGATCCAATGGAGGAGATCAACTCTGAAGGTGGCTGCTGGATTGATAGCAGAGAAGCCTCCCCTGCCCGCTCTCTGCTCTTCACTAGCCTGTCTTTTTTTAAAAACTCATCCTTGATGTATTTTCTTTGTTTTCTTTTTCTTTGCTTTCTTTTTCCTTGGTTATTTTATTGGTTCTATTTCACTTTCACTTTGCTTAAACTTCCTTTTTCTTTCTTTCTTTTTGTGGCTGTGAGCCGCCTAGAGTAGCCCCATGGCAAGGTAGGCGGGAAATAAGTTTTAATAATAATAAGTGGGATTTGTTTAAGATCATTGAGGCAAATTGTCGCCATTGTTTATTCATTGCAGTAAGTTTATGTGAGCAGTGTCTACGCCTTGACTGAGCAATGTATTCATGATCGCTTTCTGGAATATTGAGTTAAATGCCTTTTTGTAGTAAATGAAAGCCATGCACACAGGCATGGCGTACTCATTGTGCCTTATTTTGGGGTAATATATTTTATTGATTTTTTTTAAAACCTAGATCACCTAATAATTGGTAAACAGTGTGTTGTCTGGGTTTACATTTGTAAAAGAATCACTAACAATTTTTATAGTCCATAATCCGCATAATGCTTTTAGTTGATTTCGTCTTTTCCCCAAAATGTCCTCTTTTGCAAACATTGAATTAATACAATTCTTATTATTTTGATAGATAACAATGAAATACATAATTTTTCCCAATATTCCTAAAAATAATAATCACATTAATATAATATTTTTTTTCTATCTAATCATTCTGGTTGCCTCATCATAGATCCTGTTACAGTCCTTATTTAAATTTGTTTCTCCCACAAAATTTTAAGTATTATTATTAGTATTAATAATAATAATAATAATAGTAGTAGTAGTAGTAGTAAAGTTGGAAGGGACCTTGGAGGTCATCTAGTCCAACCCCCTGCTCATCTAGTCTAACCCTCTGCTATTCTTACTGGTTAATATTTTCTCATTGTGCCTTTCAATGACTTGCCGAACAACCTGGATGTGATCCATTGTGTTGTAGCCACTTCTGAACCCTGTTTGCTCCTTTGGCTGTGCATCATTTAATATTCTCAATATTCTTTTTGCTATTATCTTGGTGAAAAACTTGTAGATGACTGAAATAAGGCTTATTGGGCAATAATTCTTTAAATCATCTTGGTCCCCTTTCTTGTGTATAAGAATCACTTCAGCATTTTCCATGTAATCGTCTTGGATACATATTCTTATGGTTTTGCAAAGTTCTACATATTCCAGTTTATTAGTGAAACTTCTGGTATTCTTCCTTGTCTTCATTTTTTCATTAAATCAATAGTTTTGTCAAGATTTTTGGCTGTACCAAGTGTTTTTCCGGCAGGGTTATCGATGTAGCAGATTTAAGAATGTTTTTGACTATTTGTTCATTTTGGTCCATAATGTTCATTTCTTCCAAATCTTGCAATAGAGCAAAGTGATTTGACCTATTAATCTCAAAATTCCTGTTCTCCTCTAACAGCTTATCACTCTTTATTTTTGTTTTTTGGATGTCTTTATCATTTTCATACGTTCTTTTCGATAGTCTATCTTCACTCGTACCATTCTATGGTAACTTCCAACAGTCACTTCTGCCTGCCTTGGAGAAGTATTTCGCAAACTAGACTGGGCAAAAGGTGGAATAAAAATCAGTGGCGCCTATTTAAATCACTTAAGATTTGCAGATGATGTTGTTCTCTTCTCACAAGACCCAGAAGAGCTACAAAGACATATACAAGAGCTGCACGAAGCAGGAGAACCATTTGGCTTAAAAATAAACCTGAAAAAGAGCCAGATTATGTTTAATAAATTCACTAAAGAATATATATATATATATATATATATATATATATATATATATATATATATATATGTTTTCTGAGGTTTTCGCGGGTGTTTGTATGTAGGTCTTTGGTTGTTCGGGTTTTCTCCCGCGTAAAATTGGAACCAAACCAAATTAACCAACCTACTCCAAGACTCCACATACAAACCCCTAAATACAGATCCCACCACCTACCTGGAAAAAACCACCAGATCCAAAATAAAAGCCTCCCCCATTAGCGAAGAGATCCAGCAAAGAATCATTCCCAGAGAGAAATCATCCAGATGCCCCAAACTCTATGGTCTCCCCAAGATACACAAGGAAGGAACCCCACTCAGACCTATAGTCAGCTCCATAGGCTCACCTCTACAAAACCTAGCCAAATTTCTCGCCAAACAACTACAGCCCTATGCAG